CCCCTGCTGCCCAAGCGATTCACCGCCGAGGCCGGAAGCCTGCGGCGGCTGTCGGCGGGGGGTATCTTCTTGCTCGGTCTCCAAGCAGGGTTGGCGCGGCATGGATGCACTGAAAATTATCTTTGTTTCGTGGCACTCGACGTGCTCTTGGACATCAATACGTTTTTCAGCGTGCTGGTGTCGAGGAACTGCAAGTTCGCGGCGTGCCTTACCTCCGTTGTGACGAGAAGTACGGCAAAGCAACTGGGAAATCCGGGAACTTCAGGAAGGCCTGTGTTCGCTGCGGACTTCTTCACGTGGTAGTGCTCGAGATCTTTGAGGAGAAGGGCGCCGAAGCCTTCTTCAGCCTCATGGTTACATCGCGCGCGGCTATGCCTTTTTTCTGTGCAGTCTGCGACACAACCGATTGCTTTAAGCGTGTATGGCAGCACAGACGCTTAGGAGCAAACTGAAGCGCTGTACGATCGCTTGTGACTCTTGATTGGCAGCCGTTTTGGTGGAACGTCTAGACTAGGCTTAGACGGTGAGCCAGAAGAGCAACGGCAGGCCGATCCTAGACATGCAATAGTCATGCAATGACCAGAGGCTCAAGAGGGTCCGAAGAGGAGCTGAAAGCCGATTCCGCAATTCCGACTGTGTTGCATTCCAGAGCGCGGTTTCTCGTCTCGCGATAATGCTCGGCAAAGCAGAGCGGTTTGAAATGAGCTTGCCCTTAGTTGCATAATGACCATAGCGCATGTACTCAAGCAGCAGCAGCATGGGTCCTGAAACCCAAGCTGACCTTGTTTCAGTTCTTAGTTGGTATAGCCTGCCCAGAGACAGGTGGCGCGTAGACAATGCATCAGGTTGCCCTTAAGCGTCTATGGCCTCGCAGCCTTCCTGGTCGAGTGTTTAGGCCTGGACTATGAGCCAGAAGCATGATTTCGACAGACCGGAGACAGCAATCCAATTTCCAGATTTCCGATGCTGTGTCACAATTGCCGTCCAGAAATCTCGTCCCACAAAAACTGGCCAAAACATACCGAGCTTGCACGAGCTTGTCGTAAATTGGGTATGTGCCCAAACTGACCAAAATGGCAACGCAACGTGCCGGATGCAAGCGCAGTGAATGTATCTGCATGTCAACTGACACCCTGCCAAGTGACTCGCGCAGCAAACAGCAATGCAAGAAGCAAGCAAAATTCGCAAATGACGTGATAAGGAACAGTACTAAACTGCATCAGGCCGTATTGGATCAGTTGTAGCCCTCACTTGATGAAGCAGTTCGGGAAGCCTGACCAGAAGAGCCAGGCCAATCGCACGGAGCTCTTGTCCCGCGAGCACCTCCAGCAGACGGAACATGATCTTGCCCACTGCTTGTAATTCTGCATGTGGAGCTTAAGGCTTGAGGGCTTCTATCCGTGGTTTGATTCTCAGCCTGATGGAAGACTATTTTCAAGCAAAAGATTTGGTTCGTCCGTCAGCACCGTGGCCAGCAGGCTTTCCAGGCAAGTGCTGCTCGTCTGGCACCAGATGAGGACGGGCAGATCCGGATCTAGAGTCGTTTTATTCAATACATGACCGGCCTGCAGATCTTGCTAAGCCTGCTAAACTTGACAATTAAAGTCACATCATTGCCTTTGCTGGCACGACGGCTGGTTGCAGGATGTGGAAGTGCTGGATACCCTCGAGGAAGGCAGACAGGACCTCAGTCCACCTCTCTGAGATGAATCCATCCGATCATGAACGATGTAGCATCCTAAACCCTAAACCCTGAATATCCTAAATCCTAAACCCTAAACCCTACATACCCTAAACCCTCAGCTGCAGGGCCTCTTTTAAAGAGGGAGCCACGGTGCCGGAGCACGCTTCGATCCGATCGGGCACTGCGCCGAGGATTGTTTGGAACCATGGCAGCACTTCCGGCCTACAGCCCGGAGCCCTTCTCCATAGCCTTGCGCTCAGAGCTTGCGGCTGGCTGAAGGCTGCTATTTCGGGTTTGGTGTAGCTTATAGGAATACACTCTGGTATATTCATGTGATTTATATAGGCTCGACTATAGGAGGATAGCAATGAGTATTGCAAAGTGTTCCAACTCCGCAGGTGGTTCGCTGCACCGCAGAGACGTGCACACTCTATTCCATAGACGGCAGGGCCCTCATTTCCGGGCATTGCGCAGTGCGCAGCCCCACAGCCATGCTTGATTGTCAGCACCTTGTCGGCATCTGCAGGACTTCGATGCTAGAAGTTCGCATGCTCTTGTGCTGCTGCGTGAAGCAAGGTTCGTCAATGCAAAACCTGCCCTCCAAGCTGCTGACGTGTGGCGCCTAGCAGCCGGAGAGTCAGTACTTCGGCTTCAGGCACTTGGCAATTCCGGCATCCGTTTTGCAGGTTTCTGGAGGCTTTTGTAGAAATGTTTCGGAGTAGAAGCCTCGCAGAATGTCAGCCAGCTTAATGGAGGCCATGCATATATCGAAGAGGATCGTTACCACAGTCAGACTAGCAGAAGATGAACCCTTCCTGCAGGAGTCGGCCCAACACGACACCTTTTTTAGCGAGTCGAAACCATCCCCGAAGTGAACCCAGACAGTCCATCGCAGGGCTTTGCGCGAACAAATGGCCGAGGTTGGCTGTGCGTGCTCGGGTTTCAGACAGCACCTTGGGGGTTCCACGGGCTCTCAAGAGGCTTCATGCCCAAAACAGGTCCCAGGCTTGTTGTTCTCCGGTCGGAAGGCCTGTTAGACTTGGAGCAGATTGCGTTGGGGCCCTCCCAGCTTCCTCGCGCCTCTGGAAATATGTCGCAACATGCCCCTGGCCTTTCACCGCCCTGGGAGCTTATGCAAGCCAACGTGCCAGGAAGCCACCCATCGCATCGCCCGGATTCATTTGCCGGAAGAAGAGGAGAGCCAGGCCTTGCAGAATCTGAAGGAATTGTTCTGTTCCGTGTGGTTGGTCTGGAGTCAAACCGCGAAGTTGGAAGGTTCTTCTGATGTAAGACACTGTTTGGAGAGTCGGGGTGCTTTAGGGAGTGACGAGTGGATCTCGGGAGCACCATCGAGTCCGAATCTGGGATTTCAACAGCTTTGCCAGACTGCCACACCTACCTCCATGCCGACAAGCCGAAGCCGGAGCTCAGGCTTTCGTCACGAGCAGCCATGGGAGAACATGAAATGCCAGTGTCGAGATCATGGTTGCATGTCCCTGTAACCTTTTGAATAGCATCGGTTGTTTCTGGTCAGCGCCTTCGTTGTTAGATGAAATGTGAGCTGATGCTAGCACTTGGCTCAAAGCTGCCTTACGCTCTCCTGTCCAACTTGTCACCGCCGTGGCCTCGGCAGAACAAGCGTGGTTGCGTGTCTGTGGGCCCATGGCCTTCTGCGATTCTACGTTCAGCATTGTTCAGCCTGTGAGCTTGCGACCAGGCTGTTTGCCGTGGCACAGAAGGCCGGATCCTGTTGAACACCCACCACACAGATGCACTACAATTGCGACAACGTCAATCCGCAACTTCCTCGCAGCGTAGTCCGCACTCATGGACTCCGAGAGGTTGTTGCCGGCCTAGCGACAAACATTTGGAGTCACAGCTTGTTTGGTCGCGCGGGTAGGGAGATGCTATAACATATGCAGTTTCAACACTTCAGAACCAAGCCGTCTGACGACGGTCCGCTTTGATGGGAGAGTCATTGCAGTTGCTCACGTGATCTATGGCCTAGGCCTTGACTTTCAATCTATCGAAAAAGTGTGTGCTTGTGCCATCTTCTTGAGAACTGACCACCCGCCCGGTGAAGTTGTATCTTGCCTGACAGGACAAGCTTGCGCGTCGGCGACACCAAGGCAGAGACAGAAAGCTGCTGCTATGATGGTTTCCCAGCCCAAGATGAACATCGGAGTCGCAAAAAGCGTTCATACCTGCGCTTGGTCATGGATCGATGTTGTCAATGTTGAGGGAGAGGTATGGATTTCCAGGAGTGGCATGTGCTGGCGCAGAAGACAGCTAGAGCTGCAGGGCAGATTCGGCTGAGTCCGCATCATGTGGAAACTCGAGTTTTCCACCCAGCAGGTCCTTGACTTCGTTACATCAGCAACAATGGAGGCGAGCTGGGGTGCTTTTCTTGCTGTTGGTCTTTGGTGGCACGGAGATGGGGATGTCTGTTTGTAGCACTGAGTGAAGCTCGTGACACTCAGAGTGCGCTGAGCATTTCGAGCCCTGCTGATCACAGGTGACGCTTTCGGACACAATCGGCCTTCCCCAGGGAACCTTGCTCTCCATCCGAGTGGGCAAGACTCTCAGAGCACGGTCTATGAAATGGGCAAACCCCGAGGGATGGCTGAGCCTCCAGGGCGTAAGAAGATTTCGGGTGCCAGGAGTGTCGGGTGTTGGGATCTTCCACATCTCTGGGTTCAAGAATAACACCCGCACATTCGTCCATTCTTAGCAGTCCTTTCTTCAACGGCTCCAAAAGGCAGGAAGGATTTGCCAGGTTCATCGTCTTCCTCTTTCCGAGTTCAAGCATGAATGCCGTCGTAAGTGGGCGTGCTTGCTCTTGGACACCTGATCTGATGGCAACCTCTTGTGTTGGCATAGGTTCGCATGCTTGCGACGAGGATCCCGAATCCCATGCATAGCTGGCCCCCACGCCATGTTCGAATGGCACGATGTTTTCAGACGCCAGGCATAGGGAAGCGTCCTTCATCCATCGACTCTCTAAGACACCCGTGTTCCTCCAGGCTCCACGCGCAGGCAGGCGGTTGTAGACTCGAAGTTCAAGCTGGTCTTCCCCAAGGGCTGCAAGCACGGGGAGGACGTCAAGGCCGGCCAGACAAACAGCTCCTTGCTTTGGGAGAATTAAAATAGGGCTTAGGGTTTGGGATTTAGGGGGGACTTGGCCGGGCGAGTTTCTGCCACGAGCGCAGCAGCTCTGAGAACCAGGCGGGCCTGTACAAGTCTGTGCAAAAGGGGTCCAGAAACAGAGCCAAAGAGGGGATCGCAGGGAGATACATGGGCGGGCAAAGAAAGCCTCCTGCTCACCTGCAGGTGGACGCCCTGCAGCAGATTGGAAGCAACATGCCCCATGGCCACAAATCTGTTCACACCACTGGGTTGCTAAGTGGACGTCGTTTTGAAAACCTGCCCTCTGCAGAAATCCTCCCATCAACTTGACCACCCTCGTTGGCTAGCTGAGGATGAAGTACAACGAGAGTGTCGGCCGCTATGACCTGGATTTGGACGACTTCGGCTCGAAGGTACTCTTGCATGGACCATGCTGTGAAGTGATGTTGATCTGTCATGAGGTGCATTCGACACAATTGGTTGTGACAGCCTGGGTTTATCCTGTGCAGGTGTCCTTGCACATGCGAGAAGTCATCCAACCTGCAACGGAGCAGGTGGGAATCCAGAGAAGTGGTAAATGCAGCGATTTTCTTCGCAGAATGCACATAGTCGTTGTCTATTGTGTCTATTTAGGCATTTAGTCGTCACTGTTCACATGGTCACAACCCGAGCCGAAAGCAACCTGCTGAGGCAAACAGGTCCATCAACATGACCATATCTAGGGCAAGTCAAACCATGTCGACGGAGGGCTTCTAACTTTTTGTAGAACTGAGGGAGTCAGCCGAGCTTCTAACTCAGCATTGAGATGTACTGTCGCTGTTCATCGCAGGAGTTACAGTATGATGGCAATGTACAGAAGGCGTTCAGTACCATCAACAATTCTGACGACATGCCTTTCAGACAGACAGCCAATCTGAAGTATCATGAGCTTGCGAGTGGTAAAGCGCAAGAGCATGGCGAGCAGTATGGATTTGAAGAAGTAGAACGACCAGCGTGGACTAGCATGAACAGTAAGAGCCATGTGAACCGCAAAACCGACCTGCCAACAAGAAACAGAACATCAGCACACGACAAAGATAACATCCACAACAGTAGCAATGCGATAACTATTGCACAACAGGGGCGGGCATGGTTTTTCGAATGAATGTCAGAGAGGCCTCCTTCTCCTTGCCTGGTAGAGAGAGAGAGAGAGAGAGAGAGAGAGAGAGAGAGGGGCTTATGATGAGCTATGTTCGCTCTTCACTCCCCCAATCCCGACAATGATCGGGTGCCCTTGACGCCCGGCGGCTTTGACAGGCCCTCATGCTTGGGAGAGCGAAAACCTTTCAATGCTGAGGTACTTGTCTACGAATCCGGGTAGAGTCAGCCGTGCCATAGTGAAACAATCGCTACCGCTAGTGGCCCCCAAAACCAAGTAGACAAGCAGCAGAGGGCACGCCCCACACAGGGGTTCGCAGAAGAAGTCTGCCTCTCGACGCTGGGGACGACAACCAAAGCCCGAAACAGGAATAGCAGCAGGGGGTTTAGTTAGTCCTCAAAGTCAAATTCAGGCGTGGCTGGGTGTTGCAACCTTGAAAATGCCCATTGAACGAATTTACTATAGCATCCAAAACGCGGAGTGTCCCTGTCGAGTCTTTTGCCACTGCCAGGAGGTCAGCGCCGCACCCGAGGCCGCCAAGGTCGACGACAGCTCGGCCTGGAGGCTCAGGTTGACGCAACAATTCGCCTGGGGTGTAGAGGGAAGATGGATTCAAAGGGGGCTCAGGTTTTGAAGCTTCAGGGGTTTTTGGACAGGAGTGTCTGTAAGGGATGAAGGGGTGACAGTCGAGGGTTCAGAACGGCGGATTTGACCGCTGAGGGTTGCGGATTTATCCTTTAGCCCCAGACTCGGAGGCGGTCAAGAGTCTTGGGTTGTCATTGCCTTCGTCGCTTTTCTTTCTGCTGCACTCGTCACCGCCCAGGTCAGTCATCGCCACCGAGTGGCAGCTTGTCTGCATTCGCAAATGTGCACCTCTGGAGCCTCGAACATGGAAACGTTATTTGCAGGCAGTGTATGCCCGGAAGTACTTGGATGAGCACAAGCTCCTCACCTGGGCCCACAAGTGCGGGCACCCAGAATCGGCTGAAGCCAAATCTGCAGCTCAGGTGGAAGCAACTACTCCCTTCTTCTTTTTCTTGCCCAAGCTGAAAGCCTCTTTCTGCAATTTTTGTGCAAGCCGAAGAAGAATGAGTCACTAGATTTACTAGATTTCGGTGCTGGCTGCCGCACAGCTTCCGTACCGAGACTTGCCTCGGCGCAACTTCAGGTTCGGGTTGATAGAAAGCTCATGGTCGATCGTGGTCTCCAGTTTCCGAGTTTTTGTTCTGGTCCCAAGGGTCACGACGGCACTATGCCCAGTTATGCACTGGCGCTAAACTCTCAGCCCTAAACCCATGGCCTTCGTTGTCGAAGTGGTGCTGCTGAGCGGCCATCGGGCCATGGTCAGTGCAGAAGCGGCGCACGGGGAGACCTTGACCGTGGAAGAGTTCCGACACCGAGCACAGCTGGCATTGGGTGTTGGGATCAAGGCGGGCACAAAGTGTTGGAAAAGTTTCCGGATGCAGCTTCCGTGGTGTTGCATGTGTATATATATATATATACATACACATGTATATATATATACATATATATATATATAGAGACAGTGTGTGTGTGTGTTGTGTGATGTGTTGTCTTGCTTTTCGAGGCTCTGGTCAGCGGCGACCATATCCTCCCGGACAAGGCCACGGTGTCTTCGACAGGCCTCCGACATGGTGACACGGTCTTCGCAACCGCTCGGCGTGCGAAGCTGGTCGCGACGCGGCAGCGCTGCCGCATGTTCCAGGGCGCTGGGCATGATGGTGGGGCATTTGCCCTCATCCGCAGCAACGGGACGGTCAGGACATGGGGGGATGAAGCATTCGGTGGTGACAGCTCTACTGTCCAGGAGAAACTGACGAACGTCGAAGACATTTGTGCAACGTGTGGAGCGTTTGCTGCACTGCGTGCGGACGGCAGCGTCGTTTGTTGGGGAAACATCTCACTTGACGCTATCGAAGAGGGGGAGCTGCGAGAAGTTCGGAGCCTGTGCGCATCCAGCCTGGCAATGGCAGCTGTGCGCAAGGATGGCTCTGTGGTGACTTGGGGCCAGGGTCCTTCCAGCGTCAGTCGTGGGCTTGGCATGACGGACGTGCAGGAGATAGCCGCGACTGACGGTGCCTTCGCCGCTGTTTTAGGCAATGGCCGTGTCGTTGCTTGGGGCTTCGAGCCATTTGGAGCCAACACTGAGCCGGTTGAAAACGAGCTGGTACATGCCCGGCAAGTCGTAGGAGCAGGCTTCGCATTTGGAGCAGTCCGGGAAGATGGAACTGTTGTGACCTGGGGCGTGGAAGACCGGGGTGGCAACTGTGAGCATGTTCGAGGGGAACTAAGGCAGGTGGAGCGGCTCTACTCAAACTATTTCGCATTTGCTGCACTACGGTCGGACGGCACTGTGGTGACTTGGGGACTTGCTGGCTTTGGTTCCGACAGCAGCATGGTGAAAGAAGAGCTGCGTGATGTCCGATCCATCGGTTCTACCGCCGCGGCCTTCGCTGCCGTCCGTGGAGACGGGCATGTCGTGACCTGGGGCAGCCCGGGTCTCGGAGGCAACAGCACGTCTGTGCAGAGCGAACTGCGAGGCGTCCGGCAGGTTGTGGGCACCGCCGGGTCCTTTGCCGCTTTGCGCGACGATGGCACCGTTGTCACCTGGGGTGCCAGCAACGGCGGCGACAGCTCCCATGTGCAGCACCAGCTGACGAATGTCGAATCTATCGCTGCCACCGCCCAGTCCTTTACCGCGGTGCGTTCCGACGAAGTTGTCGTTACCTGGGGCTCGCATGGTCATGTGCGGCAAACTGGGACTGAGACTGCCGGACCGTGAAACAAAGATAGTCCGAAAAGAAGCGCCGCCACCGAAACTCAAAAGCACGGGGTTGATCTGCCAGGCTGTTTCAGGACTTGATCCACGACCAGCCGGCGGATCCCTGGGGCTACATCGACAAGCGCCCGAGTCCCAGACGGCAAAGAGTCTGAAAGGGAGGGTCGGTCGGTGGTGGTGGTCACGCTGAGCCTAATATATGTAACAGGCCTTCAATTCAAATTGAGGCCCTGCACGAGAGAAATTCATGGACTCGAGCTTAAATCCTTCCCGTGATGCTGGCTGGTGGCCACTGCATCGCAGGAGTTTAAATCAGGATTTACGCCGTATGGATGCAATACGGCTTCGCCCTACCGGGGCAGGGAATTCTAAACTCGAAATCCTGCTTCATCAATTATGTATGTGTGTGTATATATATATATGTGTGTGTGTGTGCACCTGTAAACAGATTGGTAGATACATATGTCTGAGTCTATGTATGTATATATATATATACACATACATATATATATATACATTCACACATATTTAGAGTTACATGGGTATATAGATGTGTTGATATATGGGTATATATACATATATGCAGATTCATAGGTGAATAAATTTATAGATAAAAATATGTATATCTCTGTGTCTATACACTTAGACATAGTTATGTGCGTGTGTGTGTATATATATATGTATAGAGGTTTATAGGTTTCTAGGTATATAGATACGTTTAAATTTATATAGATACATGAATGTATATAGATATAGAAGAGATAATGAAAGTTTTAGATTTAATACAATAAGTGCATTAGATACAACAGATATAACAGATATGTAGGCATACAGAAATCTAGATTTACAGATCTATATACAACTAGGTATACAGATAGGTACAGATATGTAAACAGACACAGAAACATAGATAGAACAGATATATAAGCATATATAGATATAGATACGGATACAGATGTAGGCATAGATACATTTACAGATATACATGTAGACATAGATATAGTTACATAGATGTATATATGTGTATATCTAGATTAGATATATAGAAGTATATAGCAATATAGGTGTAATTGTCATGTTGGTTGCCGATTCCCATCTGATGCAGGGTATGAGCCTGGTTTCAAAAGACTATGGGCATTCAGATAAACATATATATGTAAATCAAAAAGGTGTACATACATACATACATACATACATACATACATACATATATATATATAGATATAGATATAGATAAAGATATAGATATAGATATAGATATACAGATATATAGATACACATATATAAATATAAAGATACATAGATACATAGATATGTACATATATATATATAGATAGATGTATATATATATATACATACACACACAGATACATACTCGTATATAGAATATAGACGGATTGATAGTTAGATAGATCGAATCATTTTCAGAGAGAGAGAGGTACACCCGAGAGAGAGAGCGAGAGAGAGAGGTACAGATATGTGGGTAGGATATGTATACGTTACGCTGCCGAAGGCTCGGCAGAGGCGAGGGGCGAAGCGGAGCTCGCGGCAAAGGCCGAGGCGGGAGCACTTTGGCGCTTGGGAAGGCTCTGAGTGGGTGGTTAGGGGTTCGGGTTTAGGGTTTAAGGGGATTCAGGGGATCCAGCTGATTGGCAGAGTCTGGGTTCAAAAAAAGGGGATTCAGAATATATCATCTTCCAAACTGTAAAAGGCTTTGAGTATCGCGTTTGTGATGTGATGGTCGGGTTTTCAAGACTATGCACATGCGCTCGTCTCAGCATATCCGAGGCTTGAAAAACTTTAGGAGGATGGGATTTGCCTGTCTTGGGCTCAGTGGAGTTTGACTCGCAGCCCTGCTGGGCACTTTGTGGTTGCTTACAGGCTTACAAATGGTGCGAGCGAGGCTAAGCACCGAAGTTGTGGAGCTTCTTGGCCCATTTTCGTGAGGCGACAGAAGCAGCCAATCCACGGTGTCCTGACGGACCCTAGCATGAAGCCTTTGATGGTTCGACAAGAGGTGATGATGTTTATACTCCTAAACCCTAAACCCCTTTGTCCGAGCTTGAGCGCCGAAGCCGGAAAGCCTAAATCCCTTGATGGAATGTGTGGTGAGAGTGGCATTTTGCCGGAGAGATGTGTGCTGACTCAGGTTCGACATGAACCCGGCATGACTGCTCGAAATGAGTTGGAAAGTCTACACCATAATGGTTAGACGAACTCACTGGTATTTGTCTGTAACCCTGCCTCGTGACTCGTTCAGTGACTCGTTCAGCGAGCTCGCAGCGTCTGGTACTCGTTCACATCGAAGCTATCTTTGCAAGACTTGTAAATCGTTGGGGCTTTGCCGGCAATGTACTGGCAGAGCCGCCTTGAGTTGTAAGGAGGTCCCTGGATGGGCCAGGGCCCCAATGCTCAGCCTTCGCACCGGATCAACCCTCTTCGGCGTTGTCCGAGTCGCGAGAGTCCAAACGCTAGAGATTGGAACCTCGCCTGGCATGTCCGAGTTGTGAGAGCCCAAAAACCCATCCCCCCCCTCCTCCCCCCCCCTCTACCCCGGCAGATGTCCACCTTGCCGGGTTAGCCAGGCCGAGAGGAAGCTGGCTCAGGCAGACATGGAGGCTTCCGTTTGTAGGATGAATAGTATCATGAGGAGTATTCTTGGTCTTCTTATTCTTAGTCTTAGTCTGATTCTTTTGTTCCTACTCTTATGATTCTTATTCTCAGCTGCTCGTAAATTGAATTGACCATGAAAGAAGAACAGTTGTAGATAGTGGTAAGCCTAGCAATCTTGATGACGATGTTGGCCTTAACCAAGCCAGTCAGCTAGACGTCATCCCTATGCTTCCCCGGTCGTCTAGGTTTCCGGGTCTATGAGGCTGTGCAGGACATACATTGCGAACTTTCTTGCGGCGGGCTACCTTTTGCAACTTACTGGACACAGTAAGCAAGTAGGCCGAAAAAGGATGCCAAAGGATTGAAATCTTTAGTTGTGCGTGCCTTTCCTGTCATCCCGGCCCTTACAACAAGCAGCTGACAAGTCCAGAATGGTTTGCTCTTGAAGTGCCAGGACATCCGCCAGCGCACCGCAACGCAGCTTCAGCAGGCCATGTGTGGCCAATGATATGGACCACAGTTCATCCCAGCTCCGTTGTGATCGCAGATCTGAGTAGTTTGCACCAGACCTTGGAATCTCCTTTCAAAGGCGCCCTTTCCCTGGCCCACAGCCTCTATGCTTAGTGAACTCCGCCGGGGTACTTATGCCCTACCTGGCCAACGCTGCTTTTCAGGCTGCGGAGGACGGCAGCCTCGAGAACGCCCTGAGCCATTCTCAGGAGGCAGGACAAGTCAAAGACGGTGCACGACCACCGGCAACATTTGCTGTAAGAAGCCGTCCCGAGGCTAAGCAGAGCATCGTAAACATGTGCCAGGTCAGTAACCGGCCAAAATGACATGTTGCTTTGGGGCTTCAAGGGTTTGGCGGAGAGCGGCGAGGGCCGTAATTCACTTCGCAGAAAGCTTCGGGCGCATCGGGTTGCTCTCGACTTGATTGTGCTTTTCCTTAAGAGGCTGTATCTCAAGAGAGAGGCCACCTTGAACAGCGCTGTGCACAGGTAAAGTCGATGTACCCTAAACCCTAAACCCCTAAACCCACCAAAACAGCGAGGGGAAAAGGGTCGTGCAAACCCTAAACCTTAACCTAAACCCTAGGATTGGCGAGTGTGTGAGTCGGAAACCCTACGGTTACCGCAGATCTTCAGAGAAAGGCGCCGGAGCTGCCTCCCATGTCGAAAGAGCTGGAAGAGATCACCGACTCCCAGGAGGTTGCGCACATGAAGACGGAAGAGGCGGCCGCTTTTTTGGAGGATTTTTTTTGGGGGGAGAAGTAGAAGATTTTTAAGCGTTCTATCGGGGCTTCTTACAAGGGGTGCAGGGGTACAAAGCTGGGGTTGGAGGGAAGCAGGGCAGTTGGATTTGGCCTGAAGCTTTTAGACTCGGAGCTTTTGTGCCTCAGCACCCTGTACATCCCTTTGTCCCTGAGGAGGACTTGGACAACCTTCGCCTGAAGACCCAGGCTGCTTTGTTTCGTGCTGCCGAGGACGCCCCGGGATGTTAGCATCGGTTTAGAGCAGGCGAAGAGGTAGCGCCCGAGATCAAACCTAAGCTGACTCCCGAGTGAAGGCCAGAAGCCCGCGAGAAGCTTCGTAATCGCAGTTGAATCGAAGTGCCAGTGGATGGCGCTGCTAGCAGTAGCGAAGCTCAAAGTCTTACTTCGGGGCTATATCGTGGCCGTCGCAAGATCAGGCGAACAAGCACTGTCGGGTTAGAGAATAAAACCCGGCGTGGAGCTCAGATTTACCGTGCGGATGAAGCCGAAAAACTTCCGCATCAGCGGTACCTCCTATCATGTCCCCCTGCAAGCAGCTAAGCTAAGCTAAATTAAACTAACTAGGCTAGACTAGATAGCCCACTGACCCTGTAACTTACTTACCCACGAATGACCGAGCTATTTACCTGTCTACTGTATTTGTCCTGTCTGTCCGTCGGTCTGTTTGTCTGTCTATCTGTCTATCCGTCTGTCTATCTGATACACGCATGCATGCACACATACGTTATGCCCACATCCTGGCACACGCTCACACGTTTCAGTTTTTTATCGGCAGAAGAGCCTGAAGCCTGCAGTGCCCTAAGGCCGGCCTAAGACCCAACGCTCTATGTTTCGACTCCAGGATGGATCCTTGCAGGAAGTCTTGGGGAGCAAGGCACGGAATTGGGGGAAGCGCTCCCGTCTTTTTCATTTTTTTGTGTCCTTTCTGGACTCTTGATGGCTTGGCCTCGGACTATGACTAGGGTTTGCACTGTTGTAGAGTGGATGATTTCGGATTCTTCCCAACCCATAATCATCATAACCCTCTGACAGTTTGCCTCTTCAGAATCAGCCTAGAGCGTGGTGCCTGGCCAGTGCAAGGCCAGCCAGCCTGCAGCCGCAGCCACAGCCAAAGATGTGGACGTTCTCCGCTACTCGGTGGCCAAGGGGTAACCTGTCGCCATTGATCCTTGAGTGCTAGCGTGCTAGTTGACCCTGATGACACCTCCTCGGTGTGCTGAGATATGGCTGCTGTCTCACCACAATCCTGGCCTGGATTCCGAGTTGCGAAAGCTTCAATTTCAACACCCCAATAACATCATGGTCCCTAAACCTGACCAAACTTCTGGAAGATTCCTGCAGCACGAGACCCAACTGCTCTGAGGCCTCCACGCTGCGCAGATGCTCTTGAGTGCCGCAGAGGCTGCCATGAAATTTCTGCAGTTTTTATAGCAGAGATTATATATATATATACATATATACACATATATTTATACATCGGCTGCAACTTCTGGTTCTGGTTCTGCTTGTGGTCAAGCCCTCGTAGGGCTCTTTCGGCGCAGCATGGAGCTAGGATCCAGGTCTTCCTTGGAGCGCACACCTTGCACGTCAACAAACGGCAGAGCATCCGGGAACTACTTGGCTTCCGGAAAGGACGGTTCCCTGGAGAAGGCCCTCATCGACGCCTCCAAGGTGCCAATCAGTCCAAACTTTCTGATTGTACTGCGGAGGTCCCCTTGATGCACAAAAAGAAAGTGGCCTCAAGACTGCGGAAGGTTTCCAGCCCACCCCTGGTGTCAGGACACCAAGGACGTCGATCTGCTGCGGCAGGACTAGACCGGGGGCCAGAATTTGTCGCACTGGCTTTGCAATCAGGGTTTCATACTTCTGGGACTGTGGCAAGTGCGAGTAAAGGTTTCCTCAGTTCTTGCGACTGTTGCACGTGGCTGTGCAGGAGGCGGCGGCCACGCTTCTGCGAGCTGCTGAAGATGGAACTCTTGAGTCGGTCTTGAGCAAGAACCAAGCGCCCAAGGAGCCAGGGAGAGTTTTTGTTCAGTCACAGTCTTCAGTACGTTATCGCTTCCCTTCTTATTCATTTCTGATTCCCCGAGCGGTTACTGCGGGGGTCGCTGTAAATTTGAAGGATTGGGGCTGGTCGTGCGGGTTGTCTCGCGGTGGGTGGGTGGTCAATGTCGGGGTTTCGACGCTTGTCTCCCTTGAGGAATGAACAAGGTCGCACCAGTCGACAGGGACTCGAACTGTCGAGAAATAGTGGCAAATCCTTTGAAAGAAACTACTGGTAGAGAAATGGAGAGAACCGGCAAAATGCTCGAATGAGAGCAGAGAAACTGGAAAGAAGACAATCTGAGAAAAAGGAGCAAACCAGTCCCAGAAAACTAGAAAATTGTGTGAAATCTGCCAGCGGCTTGAAAATCACGAGAGAATTCGACATGGAGGAGCCGACGCTCGAAAGAGACAAGCTAATTTGGCAAAAAGAAAAATTCGAGTAACTGTAGCAAGCATGTCGAAAGGATTGTACTGTACCATTGTACCCCTCGAAAAAGCTTCGAGAATTTATTCTTACGGAGAAGAGAGTGTGAAAATGCAGGAGGGCAATCTCGTTGAACGGGACCTCTGCAAATCTGAGAACCGCTCGAAGCGTAGAGTTTGAGCGACAGGGGGGGGGGGGGGGGGGGNNAAACCAGCAATGTGAATAGAAAATTTGCGAAAACAGGGGCAAACCAGCAAACCGTTCGAGAGACTACACACATTGACGAAGAGGAGACCGTGGCAACGCTGAGCAAACCGGTTGAACGGGACTAGACAAGCTGAATAACAAGAGGAAACAGACTAGAGTTCGTGTAAAGGAGGAAGAGGAAAGCATTCGAACGAGAAAACACGAAGACTTAGAGCACGCCCGTCGAAAGGGACCTGCATATGAGACAGGAGCTGGCATATCGAACCAGACTAGGGAACTTGAACACGAGAGAATTTGCGAAAGAGGGGCAACAGGCCGAAAGGGATCATGCAACTTTTGCCAGGGAAGCTTAGACATTTTGTTTCCTTCCTTGTGCTGGTCGGGGTGGGCACTGCTGGGGATTTCTATGCTTGCCTTTCCGTGTCTCCTTTCATTTCCTACCAATATTCTCAAAGGGTTATTGTTGATTCGCCGAACTTCCCGAAGAAGTTTAGGGAGGGGCTCACGTGAATCCCCAAACAACTTGCTGCAGGGAATCTTGTTATCCCCTGCAGCTTGCGAGTTTTTCAGGCACTTTGGTGTAGGAGTCCTCGTTAGTTTGAAACAGAAGATGCTTGTCTCCCGTTGTCTCCCTTCATGCGGGTCTTGAAGTCAAAGCCCGGTACTGCGCTGGTGTTGCTTCAGTTGTTTGGGGTTTTCAGTGGTGTAATTTATCTCAGCAATACGTCCCGTGGGCAAGTCGTGCTAGTGCATTGACTTCCTGACAAACATGCAAAGGGGTATGTATGCTTGACGGACAGCCCGCCGGACGAACAGTCACATGCATTCGTGTGGTGTTTGTTGTGCATCAGGTTATGGCTTGCAGCAGCAATTGTTGTGTGGTGCGCAATTTGGCTTGGGCGACTAAAGCACTGAGCACGAATGGAAGCGAAACCCTCGATTTGAAAAATCTATCGCTGAGTGCCGTGCGGGTCATTTAAGCAACAAATCATGTTTCGAGCATCCCGCCGGCTAGTCCTTCCAGAGAACACCTCAAGGCGGCTCCCGGCCAGGGCATTGTGTACAGCAGTGAAGCTTTGGATGTGTGGCCGATGGCCTACGCAGAGGACTAGGTAGTTCTGTGCTAAGGGCCTTTACAGGATTACAGCCTGGCTAGGGTAAATTCAGTGCAAAGCCCCCAACGCTGCAGGGCCACGCGAAGTCTCGCGACTCAAGCCCAAATCCAGTCCAATCTCCAGGATGACCTCGAGTCCCTGCGCCAGGATGCTTCTTCTGATCCTCTCATGCTTGTGGTCTTGTATTTGTTCTGGCTAGTCAGTGGTCTTCCTGCTACAAAGGCGGCGACGACAGCAACGACGACGCGACAAGAGGAGCAAGAACACGAACCATAACCAGAGCAAGATCAAGAACAACAGCAAAAACAATAACAAGAGCAAGAGCAAGAGCGGCAACAGCAACAGCACCAGCCACAGCCACAGCAACAGCCACAGCAACAGCCACAGCCACAGCCTGCTACTGCTACTACTACTACTACGACGACGACTATCATCTACTGTCTCTACTGCTGCTGCTGCTACTACCACTACTACTGCTACAACAACAACTACTACTACTACCACCACCAATAATAGTAATAATCATAATAATAACAATAATAATAATACGAAGAAGGATTTTACTAATGCTGCTGCTTCTGCTAGGTGGTGTTACTCGACATAAGTGCGGCTGCAGTTTTATACAGGGCCTTATTGATCAGCTCCAGTGGTTTCAGGCTGTGATTGTTTTGCCTTGGCATCACGCGACAGTGATAGTTTCGGAAAGGGCGGTGTCATTGGGATTTGAATGAAGATTTCAGCATCTTATCATATACGAGCAGTGATGTAATGGACCTGTACGGAGTGTGCAACGGCTAAGCTCTGCAAGGCTACAAGCACAGTCTGTTGATTCGCGAGCCTGAAGCCCACGCATGCAAGCAAGTAGGAGCGGCGCGACCAACTGCAGTCGTGGGCAAAACAACATCGAATCTTTCACGCTGTGAGTCATTGGAGTGCCATCCGGTCATCTTCGGTTTTCGGCTTGCGCACTGCAAAAGCAGGAATAATGCCCAACTTGTATCAAAGCTGACGCAAGCACTGCAAGGTTGAAGCAAGGGACAAGTGCTAGTCATGAAAGCCTTTCTCGAAGCGAGTTCGTGGGACAGGAGGCTGCTCACACCCTCTTAGCCGCTGCCCAGGCATTCTGTCAGAATTTTCACGGAGCAGGTTTTGTAGGCAAACAGCAGCGCGTCGAGAGTATGAATTCTATGCACAAATGGGAGCTATTCAATTTTTCTTTGAAGGGTTCTCACAGAAGTTCATGTCGGGACTCTGCTTGCGGTCTGGATCCAAAACCCCTCGTTCCACAGTTGACGTCCTCTGTCAAATAGCCCCGCAAGATTCCCAAAGGACCCTAGCGTAGATCCCACAGAAATTTGCCCCAAACTCAAAATGCATCCAAGTTGCCTGACCTGGCTCTGCATGAGGCAAGACACCCCAAAGAAGACCTCCGCCGCCTCAGCCCTTCGTGGTGCGCTTGACAGGATGGACGCCTGGAGGACGTGCTGACCAAGAAGAGCCAGGAGGGGGCCCTGCTTGGATCTTCCAGAAAGAGACGGCGCACGAGAGGTAGAAGAGTTTAGGTCTGTGTCACATCAGAGAGATCCCTGGTTGCAAAAGTAAGTGCTTCAACGGCTATGGTCCAAGGTTCAAGCGATTTTCAGACACACGCCTCTCCAATTTTCTCGCTGGTGGTTGCTGCCATGCCTCCAGTGCAGTCGCGCTTCGCTGCAGCTAGCCTTGTCGCTGGTGGCCTTGCAGCCTCTGCTTTCGTCGCGCCGTCCACACGCGGAGACCGTCAGCTCAGGGCAGGTGGGGCCTCAAGGGTCCCTGCTCGTACACCAGTGGCTCAACAGAAAACCGGGGACGGCTTGGCTGCCCTCGCAATTCTTGGCGCTGGCTTGGCCGCCGTGCGTGGATCCCGTACACAGGTCAACGCCACTGCTGCCGTGGAGGCGCCTGAGCCGCCACTGTTTCAGCCTTCCGAGCA